CAGAGGAGGCAGGGGGCGGAGGGAGGGAGAGAGAGAGAGAGATCTTGGGATTGGATCGGGCCCAAAGTTTGTCCTCCGCTTTGCAGAAGAAACTCGAGGAGTTTGGTAAAGCTGGTTTTCTTTTTAATTGTTTTTTTTTTTAAATAGCAGTAGGACGCTGGGAGGCAATTTTAAGTGGTTTCCTAAACCCAGAGAGACAGAAAAGTAGATCTGGGAGGGGGTTTTTTCTCCTCGAAGGAAAGAGCAAAAGAAGTTCTATATCTGTGGAAAGTTAATGGTGCCCGATCCTATATGGAGGCAGAGTAAGCGCAGGTTAATCCTGTGCGTGGTTACATGCAAGTAGATCCTGCTGTGTACAATAGGGGTTAGTTCTTGGAAAATGTGCCTTTAAATCCTAAATTCTAAGGGTCAGTGATCCTAAATCAGCAATCCTAAATCAGAAGTGAGAGTCTCTTGGAGCTTACTCCCAGGTAAGTAGGTATAGGATTGTAACCTTAATGAACTAGTCCTTGGTCTGGGGCCCATTTGAACGGATCAACGGCCTGTCCCCTCCATCGTGTGACTTTTCATAGGCGTCGGATTCTCTTGGGTAGAACAGATGGTCGTGCGCAACGCGCCGCAGAAAACGAAGTTCGAGCAGGGTGGAACGAGTTACTGCAAGGTTGCAGCTGTTTGCCTTCAACGAACAGGCCTGGAGGCCCGATCCTGGAGCACGTTGGCCCCGGAGTCCATCGCCCTCGGTGGAACGCTTTGATTTTTATACCTCTAAACTCAGTGAGGAAACTGAAATGGGTTTGAATGGATCCCGGTGAGGAAGGAAGGAAGGAAGGAAGGAAGGAAGGAAGGAAGGAAGGAAGGAAGGAAAGAAAGAAAGAAAGAAAGAAAGAAAGAAAGAAAACCCGCCACCCGTTTTTCCGTATTTAAAAAACGAGGGTTGCCTTTCACTTTCTCAATTTATTTTTTTTAAAAAATTAGGTAGATATATCTCTTTAAAAAAAGTAATCGTGTTTTTCTTTCTTTCCGTTTTCCTTAACGAGGAATTCGTTTCATATTTATAAATCTCCTTTATCAGGGCAAACCCCGATCGTGAAGGCATTTCTTAGCCTAGAAATCCTGAGTTCCAAGTAAGTTTAAAAACTAGTGAAAGGGAGTGCCTTCGGAAGCCAGTCCTTCGTGTTTCCAGCCCGATCCTATATGCACTGAGCGCAGGTAGGGGGGTGCTTTCTTCTGAGTAAACGTGAGTGGAGATAAAAGTCCAGGTCCGCTTGATTTTAAAACCCAAAGGATTCGCGAAAAGCGGTTAGTTTGGGTATTTTCGGGGTGCCTTCTGCTCCCCTGCCCCTTCCCCCCCCCCAAAAATCCTTACAAGTAAGGACACGTCTCAGGGAAGAAAGGACGGTGCGTGTTTGCAATTCCATTGATTCACTCAAAATTAATATACTGAGATTTCTTATGGTAGAGGCGCGGATAAATCTGCTTGGCTCACGCAGACATTTCTGCCTAAATGTTTCAGGAGCGATCCGCGATCCTAGCCCTCTAAGAAATTTCTTCCAAGTAATTTCTCTTTTTACCTGCGATCTTTGTTCACTTTGAAGGAATAGGGTGCTAATTTTATTTTAAAAAATATTTTGGGGTGTTTTTTTGGGGGGAGAGAGAGAGCGAATAATGGAAGCCGTATCTGTATTCCTTTTTTTAACTGGGAGTTTTGAAATGCTGCTGGTCTGCTAGAACGGACTCTCTCCTGCTTGACACAGGAGCGGGGGCGAGGGGTTGGGGACGACACCTGTAGGCATTCAGACGTTCTGCTGGTGTGCTAGAACAGACTCTCTCCTGCTTGACACAGGAACGGGGGCGGGGGGTTGGGGACGACGACGACGACTCGGAAGGCACCTGTAGGCATTCAGACGATCACGCCGGAGTAGACCCGAATATTTCCAGAAAAGGACTGGCTTTTTGAAACTGAAACTCTTGGTTGCAAGTAAGCCTCCTCTCCCCTCCCTCCTCTGGATCCGTTCGGAGTGACTCACATTTGCACGTAAGGTGGGTTCAGACAACCATCTGAGCACGCATTTGACCACAAAGTGTGTTAAAACATCCCTTACCTCTTCTCAAGACGATACAGAGGAGAATTAGGGTGGAATGAAAGGGATATTTTCCCCCCCTCCCGGGATTCTTTGATTCCTCCCCCAGGCTCTCTTCCTTTCGAGTAAACACGGGTTGTGTGAACGGGGTTTAGGATGGCGGTGAGGAACAAACGGATGCTTCGGCATCCTTCGCCTTAGGATCGCCCTTTTGTGACGTCATCGGCATAAACACAAGTGTAGGTTTTCTGGGACGGGGGGCCCCCTGCTTCATCCGGATCCTAAACCGACTTTGACCAATCATGTTCACAAAACTCCAGAACAAGGATTGCTTCACCCCAAACAGCCTTAGGTGAGCGTTGGAAGGCAGGGAGACAAGGAGGAGGCTGAAATACACCTGCGATCCGGATTTATGCATACTTATTCGGGTGTCCCACAAACTTGGGAGGGTTTAGTTTTCTCCCTAAGAAACTTTTCTACTTTAAAAAAATATTAATCATTGAATTCAAATCGGAGTAAATTTGGACATTTCAATTTTTTCCACGCACGTCTCCCCAGTTTTCTAAGCCCATTGAAGTCAATGGGGTTTGAGTTTGAACGGGCCCATGGATCCGTGTTTCTCCTGGGAAGAAAGTGGAATTGTCTGAATGCCTTTTGCTTCCGAGTTACGGAATTATGGAATGCTTTCGTTGAAAATAATATTTCCATTGGAAATCCGGATTTCCTTTCTCAGCGGACAGGCTGTGCTACGTCCTCATGTTTCGGTAGAAAGAGGACACGCGGGTGCCTCCTGACCTAGGCTTGAGAGACAGGGAAGTGGTCGTGTAGACGTGAAGAAAACAGGTTTCAAAACTCTGTTCTTTGTGTATGCGTGTGTGCGTGTGCGCGCGAGCGCCTGTGTGTGCAAATTTCTCATAAGATCCTCAAAGGTGTAAAGCTTCTCATGGGATTTTTGTGAACAAGGTAACCTTTCCGGGAGAAAAGAGATTTTAAAAAATGAGATGCATCAATAAACCTAATAATAATAAGTATTAGAAGCAGTATTATAAGGAGTTGCAGAGTCCAGAATTAACACCATCAGAGCTACAAAAAAAAATATGAGGAACAGCATACCTACTGCGCCAATACTGAACGGATATTTAGGATTTGGGGTAAAGCTTGTATCTGTTCTATAATGCCAGTCAATGTTTTTATAATTTTGATTGACTGTTCGTGGTATTTTTAATAATAATAATAATAATAATAATAATAATAATAATAATAATAATAATAATAATAATAATAATAATAATAATAACAACAATAACAATAACAATAACAATAATAGTAATAGTAATAGTAATAGTAATTTATTGTCATTGTCAGTATATACACATACAACGAAATTCACAGACACCCAGAGACCAGACACATGCACACACATAAAATTCCCAAGCACTCCCCACCCACTAAAAGTCCCCCACTAAAAATACAAACATCTACACCGCAGGCCAAGTAACACAGTCCAACTAATTATTCACTACTGGTGGTCTTTAAGCTCATTATTAATTGCAATTATAGCTCTGGGATAAAAACTATTGAGAAAACATGTGGTCCGAGTCTTAATTGTTCTATATCTTCTGCCAGATGGTAACAGTTCAAAAAAGTTATAAGCAGGATGGGAAGAGTCTCTCAGGATGCTGTGTGACTTCCTCAGACAGCGGGATGTGAAGATGTCATCCAGGGTTGGTAGCTGGAGCCCGATGATATTCTGGGCAATTTTAATGGTTCTCTGTAGAGCTTTTTTGTCCGCTACAGAGCTACTCCCAAACCATGCCAGAGCGAATCAATAGAACTTTGCGGGGACGGGAGGGGGGTTCAAAGGGCAGGTCCCCTCCAAACTGGTGTTAAAATGAATAAACACACACCTCTGAAAGATGGCTGGAGCGGGGCGAGGGTGTGTGTCGGAGACAGGGAAAAGCTTCTCCCTTCCCCCGAACAACGAAGTGGTGCTGAATCCTTTATCTTCTCTGGTTTGAATCTCGAACACCACAAAGAAAGTCCGGTTTTCTGAAATCTCAAACTAAACCGGGGGCGGGGGGGGGAAAGAGTCGGTATTCTTTCTTAGGCTCAAATTATTGTCATCTCCTCAATTAAGGTACCCTTCCCCACTCCAAAAGAATACTAATAAAAATAATAATAGTGGAATTGTCTGATTAAAAACAAAAGATTCTCCACTTCACGGGGGGGGGTTAATGGCTTGTTTGTTTAGCTTTGCTACAACCTCTTCCCCCACCCGCGCCAGTGTTTCTAAAAGTCTTAGAAATCTGAGGATTAAAAAAAAAAAAACGAAAAAACATCAACCCACAACTTTTTAGGCCTCTAAATCTAATTAGCCCAAGTGCTAATTGGGAGGGGGCGAAGAGCTGAAAGAAATAACTTCATGCAGGCCAAGAGGAAAGACTTGCCCCCTCCCCCCCAAATATCCCCCCTCCAATTTAGATCTTCTCTAAAGTGAGCATTTTAATTCTAAACTTTGGGGGAGAGGGAGGGGGAGTTTGCCTGGCTCGGGGGAGCGGGGGTGCTGGTTTTGCAGTGGCCAAATCCAGGGGTCATTAAAAAGCTTGGGTGTGTGAGTGAAAGGAGTTGGGGAACCCAGATATGTTTCCTTTGTCTGGGGGGGGGGAAGAAGGGGGGGGGGAGAGGTGGCGAGAAGGAGGCTTTGTGAGCAGCCTTATTTATTTAGCTGGAGGAGCCTTTTGTGTCTGCAAAACGGGCCCCCCTCAAGTTTTGTTGCAGACCATTAGGCGCTTGCTAAGCTAAAAGGAGAAAACTCTTGCAAACCGGTGCCCGCGGGGGGGGGAGGCGGGCATGGGGGAGGCCTTTGCGGTACCTATTCGCCCTGTAATTTTGGGAGGAGGAAGAGGAAGGCATAAGCGGCTCTCGCCCTGCCTCGGTCGGTTTGCATCCCCGCGATTTTGGGCAAGCTGAGCCTCGCTTTCCTCGCGTCCGTTTTTCCGCAGAGGGGAAGAGGGAAAAGGAGGGTCGTGGGGAGAGGACGACCCAGGAATTTTCCTCGGAACACCCTGGCTGAGCCGGACTTTTAACTTCTCTCATCATTTCTCTCTCTCTCTCTCATCATCCTCCCCTCCCCACCTTCTGTCTCCAAGCTTCTTCTCCAGACCTCAGTTGCGCAAAGCCTGGAAGAGAGGACCCGCAAGAGAGACACGCGCAGGAGAAGGAAAAGGGGGACCGCCACAGATCTTCCTTCCTTCCTTCCTTCTTTCCTTCCTCCCACCCGGCCCCCGCCTGGCGGATTTGAGTCCCCACTTTTGAGAGCCCCCTTCGCTCCTCTTCGCCCCAAATTTAGCATGATGTCGTATCTCAAGCAACCCCCTTACGCCGTCAACGGGCTGAGTCTCACCACTTCGGGGATGGATTTGCTCCATCCCTCCGTCGGGTATCCAGGTAAGACCCCCCACCCCCCACCACCCCCAAATGGAAGTCGTGGCCGGGGAGGGAAGCGAGAAGAGGCAGGGGGAAGGGTCGGTGGGAAGGGAAGTGACTGGGATGTTTTTTTGGGGGGGGGATAGATGCTGGCACAGGTTGGGGCCGGCGGCAGGTTGAGAAGGTGGGAGGGTGGTTTCTGAAGGGGGCGGACGGGGCTCAGAGCTTCTCCAGGCGGCTTTTGGTGTGACCACCTACCCCCCCCAGCCAACACAGTCGCTGGCGCCCCCAAAGGCAGTTGCTTAGGTTCTGAACAGGACTTGGTTGGGATGGTAAAGATGGAGAAGGCTTTTGTGGGGGTGTGGGGGTGGGAGAGAAAACAGCCTGCTTTCTCTCCTTCTTAGATCCGACACCGCAGCCGGTCCACCCCACCCGCCTCAAACTGGCCTCACTTGTATGGCGAGCGGGACCCCTTGTGGGTTTCCTCGATGGGGTGTCTTAGAACGGGGATGGGGGGCTACTCTTTGGGCTTGGGAAGGCTGGAAGGATGAGGAAGCCGGGGCTTTGAAAAGCATGGAGAGGAGGGCGCGTCGCTCCTGTGGTTACACGTTGTTTAGGTGGAGAGGAAGGTAAGGTTGAGGCAAGACTTTGGGCGCTCCACTTCAGCACCCTACTGATAGATCCAGGAACTATAGGGATGTTCTTGGGGAGGCTTGCTCCGGTTTCAAGCCCCCTTGCTCCATCCGATGTGTCTTACTCCCCTGTTTAGGGTGTGTCTCTGTGTGCGCAGGGGTGAGGATAGTAGTCTTGGGTCAGAGCCATGCTGCCCTGCAGAAAGACAGCCTGGATTTCCTCCATCTAAGGAGCTCCTTTAACATGATTGGGGTTTTCCCAGCATCTAAGAGCTTACTCTCAAATAAGGTGTTCAGTCCAGTCAGCCAAAACATGGGCTACCAGATTCTAGACATCGGTGCCTGAGAGTAAATCTTACTCGATGCGGTGGGGCTTACTTCTGAGTGCATAACTTCTCTTCTGAAGATTGACATTTGAGTGTAAACCACACAGGTGGGTCTGCGGCATATTTCTTATTTGGAAGTAAAGGCTATTCCATTGAGGGGTTAAATTCCAGAACAGCCCTGCAGTTGGATCCTGCCCATGTTGTTACCCCAAAGAAAGCCTGGGGTGGATTTAATTGGGTTTCCTTCTGAGCCCAGTGTAGAGCTGGATGCCTTCAAGATTTTTCGGCTTAAGTCCTTGGGACTCCTCAGGAGGTCCTTGAAGAGCTTGTGCAAGACTTACTCGCGAGTAAACCTCTCTATGGGTAAGGTGCATTGCCTTGGCAGGAAGTCCTAGTGAAGGTCAATAGGGCTCACTTCTGAGTAGACTTTGCCCTAAGGTTTACTCATGAGGAGCCCACCCCTGCAAATAGGCTTTTTGGTTTTACTTTCTGAAGGGAGAGTCCAAGGTCTCTGGCTTAACTGCCTTCTGAATCTGTTTGCATGTGCTGCCTTTGGCTGATGTGGGCCCTTCTCCTCCTGAGTCCTTTCGGCTTGCTTTTTCCCCTCTCCAGCTACCCCTCGGAAACAGCGGAGGGAGCGCACCACCTTCACCCGCGCCCAGCTGGATGTGCTGGAGGCTCTTTTCGCCAAGACCCGCTACCCAGACATCTTCATGCGTGAAGAGGTGGCCCTCAAAATCAATCTCCCAGAGTCCAGAGTCCAGGTAAGTTAGAGACCCTAAAATTTCAAGGTTCTCCATTTTCACTCGGCTTAAAACCTGATTCTATGGGGTCCACTAGAGAGGGGAGAGGTGTTGAGTCACCCCAGCCTGCGCCGAGCTGTGTTTCCCTTAGATCAGTGATTCCTGACCTTGGGTAACTCAGGTGTTCTTGGACTACAACTCCCAGGCAGTACAGTTGGTGGTGAAGGTTTCTAAGAACTGCAGCCTAAGAACACCTGACTTCCCCAAGATTGGGAACCACTGCCTTAGATGAATGTGACTCAAGCTTCCATCATCTCCAGGTATGTTGGATTTAATCCCCATCCCCTCCAGGTGAAGGTGTCGAACTCCAAATCCCATTACCCCCACCAAAGCAGACGGATGTGTTCTGGGAGTTGTAGTCCAATTATTCCAGAGGACAGCAAGATGGGGGGGGTGAATCTGAGACTAAATTGTAGAGGGGATTGTCACTTGCCATCATTCCAGACATTCCAGCTGGGTTGAAGACGGTGGAGATTCAAAGCCACATCAGATCATTTCTATGCCGATCTTTGGCCAAAAAGAGCAGGGATGAGATCTCCCGGAGAGTAAAACAAACTGGAAACAGGGATATCTTTCTTCCTTCTGAAATTGATGGAAAGCAAAACGGTGAAAAAGAAGACCGAGCTGGCGTGCCCAGTGTCTTAGAATCTCATTTGGATGACATTTCATGGGTTAACTCATTGCGTTAAGGAACCACCAGAGGCGATGGCAGTGAAGATCCCAACCTAGGTTAGATAGCTTTAGAGGGAGGTTTGGCAGGAACAGGAGCAGAAGGAGGTGGTGGTGATGGAAAGGTCTGCCCCCAGTTAAGAGCTGAACAGAATTCCGTGGCTCAGACGTGGTAGATTATTAAACCATGGTGGGCTTTCCCCATCCGGGAACCATGACTTCTGTTTGGTCCCTCTGGATCCTGAAGCTGGACCGGATAGGCCTTTGGTCCAATCTGTAAGACTTTTCTGTAGATCCAGTATACTATACCCTTTCTCAGAAGACCCGCTTTGGTGGGGTTTCTGGGCAGGATCCCACCCTTCTGGCAGATTTCCAAATGAGCCCAACGTGGCTGTGGCAGCTGAGAAGGTGGCCATTCTTTCGTGAGGCCAACCTACAGCATTCACTTGTGCCCCATCAAGTGACATCTAACTTATTCTCACCCAATAGGATTTTCATGCTAGGTGAGATGTTCAGGGAGAAGTTTCAGCCCTGTCACCTCCCAGCGAATGTCTGTGACTGAGCCAGGAGTTGAACGCAGGTTTCCTGAGCCCCTAGTCCATCACTCTGTCCACTCTTCATGCAGGCTTCACTCATCAGCACCTTGGAATACTGTATAACTTATTTTTCCCATTTCCCAAACTCCTGGAGTCTACTAGACTCGGTGTGAGCCTTCTCTCATCACAACAAGCTTGTGTAGTTGGCCATGTGGTTCTCCTTCAGAATCCCTCCTTCCCATCCAACCACCCCTCTCTGCTCTGCATGTTTCCATGGTTGTTTGTGATATGCATTTTGATGCAGAGCGATTTCATTTTGGAATGAAGTGTATGGGGCAGTGAGAGAAGGAAGAAGACACTCAACAAGGATTAAGGACCTGCCTTTATATTCTGTGCTAAACCCTTCTGTGCCAAGAAGAAAGTACTCTCAAGGCAGTAGCTTGATTTAACCCCACTCCTCTTTTCTTAATATGATTGCAGTAAGTTTAAGTTGAGAAATTAAGCAGTTTCTCTCTCTCTCTCTCTCTCTCTCTCACACACACACACACAGAGAGAGAGAGAGAGAGAGAGAGAGACAGAGGGATTTCAACAGAAAATGACTCACAAAGCTTTTTACCTGTTACCCTTTTAGGCTTCAAGAGAGAGAGAGAGAGAGAGAGATTTCAACAGAAAATGACTCGCAACGCTTTTTACCCTGTTACCCTTTTAGACTTCGAGTCTCAGAATCCATTTAGCCAGCGTGGGGTATTTTGGAAACTGTGGTCCAAATATGGATTGTCTTGAAGCTTTGGTGTGGCAGATAACAATTTATAGCAGCTCTTAGCCTGAAATCTCATTGCTCCGGATAGCTAATCATGTAGGCTCTAAAACGGAGATGGAATGAAGGAAGAGAAGGGTAGAATGCCATATCCCACCCCCACCACTTCCCCTCAAATGCCTTCCTAAATGTGGAGAAAGGTCTTTAAGAGACCCCGACCCCACATGCTGTTCCCCAGGCTGTGTCTCTACTATTACAGCCCCCATTGGGGGATGACCTAAAACATGACATATTTTAAAGGTGTGTATCGATGGTGAATTAGGTGTATTTTGAGCAGATAGAGAATGACGCCTAAGAATGCATTTGGCGTGAACGTCTAAGTCTGTGTCAGCTAAGAGGAAACGTTTGGGGGGAAAGATATCATGGGTCACACAGATGATGCACCTTTGTTGGGGGCTTCAGATGGGATTTGAGTTGTCGCCTTTCAAAACGGCCTTTCTGAAGCCCTGGCTTTGTTGGTGTATGTAATGTACAGAAAGGCCTTTGAGAGACAGAAACAGAAGGCCTTAAATCAGAGCAGGAAAAATGTGCACGGGCACTCCTCGGTTTTCAGGGCATTCACACCAGGATTCCAGATAGATTTGGATTAGAATCTAGCATTGTTTCCTTTGACCTCTGAGCGCGTGGCTCCTTCACTGGGCTTCCTTCTGCTCTTCCGTTTTGATTAAAACAAGAAGCCAATCTTGGTTTTAATATCTCACAGACTCCACTCCTCCATGTACAGCTTTGAGGCGACACCAGATTCCTGGCCGATCTGGGGTTCTGTTTGCAAAACAGCAATGATTACCTTCCGTTGTTACTTTATCCGTTTCAAATTGCGGACTACAACTCCCAAAAGCCCTCAGCTCACAATCATGTTGGCTGGGATGCTCTAGGAAATGTTGTGAAAGCAACACAACTGAAAGCTCTTATCCCAGCATTGTGCTTCTTATTGCGTTATCAAACCAGGTAATGAGGTTTATTAGAACCAGTGGAGGTTTTTGCCATTCACTTCAACATTGGGTGTCAACGGAATAAAAAGGGAACCTACGTTTTGTTCTGTTCTCTGCCAGGGACTCGTCTTTACTGTCCCATCAGATGATGACATAACCATGAACTGTGGTACAGAGTCTGTTTCAACAGCTCACATTCGCTAACGAATGTTGGTGAATGTTGTCAGGAGAGAAATACAAGCCCAAAGCCTAGGTGATACTTTCCCCCATAATATGTGACCTCTTTACCCAACCAAAATTACAGAGTCACCTCACTAGTTATGAAATCCCTGTAACAGAGACCCTTTCCCAGATGAACTAAAGTGAAATCGCAATATAGACCACACAATAGGGCACCACCATACGATATCATCTGAAACAGTTTTCTAGGCGCTGAGCTATAGCTATACACGAACATACACATCTTATCTAAATGCCCCCACCCCTAAAACTCCAATAGTCTCCCACCACCCTATATCCACCTCCCATTTTGGTTTCCTTGCTGCTTTCTTGCAGTATTTAGGCCAGGATGTAGGATGTCCGAAGTGGCCCTTCGGAAAAGCAAACCGCCACTTATTGCAGTGGCATTTGCTTTCTCACAAGCGTGAAAATCGTTGGGCTGCCTGGATCTGTCCTCTAAAAGGTAAAGCAGATTTGCGAAAAGAGATGGCCTCAAGGAGTGTTTGTTGACATCACATCTGGACCTGGGACTGCAGTGTCGATAGATTTCAAGCCGGAAAAGCTGCAAGGCACATTTTATACCATAGACCGAAAGTGGTTTAATAGCTTTTCACTCTCTCCGGGGAAACCCTGAGAATTGACATACTGTTGGGTTGGGTTAAGGATCCCTAAGAGAGAATTCTCAGCACCCTTATTAAAGTAGTTACGGTGATTCTTGGAGGGTTCTCATGTCTCATAAATAGGTGCAGAATTCCTTCCTTCCTTCCTTCCTTCCCATTCCTGCTAAACCTAATACAAAGGACGTTGACCTAAATCCAACAATAGTTTTGCCTAGAGCAGACTTACGGACCCTTATTAAAGTAGTTACGGTGATTCTTGGAGGGTTCTCATGTCTCATAAATAGGTGCAGAACCACTGTGTGTTTGGAATAGAGCTATGTCCTTACTGGAAAGAAAACTGTTCTGTTGCAAAATCTATTCCTCCCTCCCTCCCTCCATTCCTACCTACTATTCATCATAATCCATGGACTCAATTAAGTTAGATGAGCCAAGCAAGGCCCATTCATTTCAGTGGGTCTGCTGTAAGTAGGACTAATGTTGGATGTAGCCCCTCACTTGAAGATGCCTTTCGTTTTGGTGGAAAAAGCATCATGGGTTTTTCACTCAACGCAGAAAGGCACTTGGTCGAATGTCAACCCAACAAGTAACCATAGCTAGATTCCTAGTCCCTCTATCCATATCAAGAGAGCTGTTTGCTGGAGCAAGGTTTTATGACTGCTCTATTGGGGTGGAGGAGACACAGATGTTTAAAGGATCTTCAGGACACAATGCAAGGTGGCCTTTAGCACTTTTTCAAATCAGTGGGACCTGTTGTCTGTTTGTCCACAGTCCACACCTGAAACCGGAGCATTTAACTATGTACGCAGAATTCTGAACATGTGTTTGCCCCGCACAAGCCAATATAGACTCATATGTACTTACTGTTTTAAAAGAATGGCACACACCAATGTCAAGTTCACAATGTGTGAGGCAAGCTTGAACCCTTTGTTAGCTAGGCGTGTAAACTATGGCAACCCGGTTTATGTGTTTTTATTTATTGCAGTCAGGGTTGTAAAGTCCATCTTTTCTTTTTAAAAAAACTGATCAATACCAGATAAATGGTACTGAAAGTAAAAACTTTATTATAAACAACAACAGTAGGGTTTTTAAAACAAGCTGGACCTTTGAAAAGATAACAGACCAGAACAATATTAAACAACTTTTTTCAGTTGAGGTTGGTGGGAGAAAC